CATTTGCACACCGAGCGCGGGAGACAGAGACAGAGAGGTGCAAAAGCCACCCCACACTCAACACGACCATGTGGTGGATCTTGCTGGCAAACCCAGAGCCCTTGCCTACTGCTTACCCGACATGAAATGCACGGAGGTTTTGACGTTGAAGGGGGTTGACACATTGAACAATGGACCCGTCCAAGCCTTGTATTCGTCTGTGATTAAAGGTTGGGGGGTTAGGGATTGGACTCTGCCACTCGGACGAGTCCAGCCGTGGTTGCTGTTTCTTCTTCTTCCGCAAGGCAAGACTAATCCGGCTTTCAGGGTTCATGGCAGATTTCCTTCCGTCTGTGCTTCCAGCGGACCACACGGCATGTCGTATGGCAGCACCGCAAGGTGTGGTTCCAACTTTCACCCCGACTGCCGACCGTCTTGCATTTCTGATTGCTGAAGTTGGCTCTATGTCAGAAAGTTTCTCTGCTTCTCTCCTTCTCTCTGCTCTACTGTTTGCTGTTCTTGATGCTGCAAATCAGCTGCTAATGACTCCTCTGCAATGGGTACTTGACTTGATTAAGACCCGGACCTAGACCCGAAACCCAATACCTTCAACCCTGATCTGAACCCTGCAGGCTCAGGTGCCCTCAAACCCACCTGGGCATCCTCATCCTCCCCGGCACGGCGCGCCGCAGGAACGCTGTTGCATCGCAACAGCTTCATGGGCTCGACTTCGATGTCGATGAAGGTTCTTCGGTAGCACAGGGGCCTTGGCTGCGACATGCGACCATCGAATGCGAGGGAGTACCCAACACCATGCCTTGAAAGCCTGCCGTAGATGCTTTTTATGAACCCGAAGTGATGAACAGCCAAGGCACAGCATGGTCGCAAAAAGGACAGACGCCTTTTCAGTGATTCTGTAAACCTGTGTGCTCACTTGAGCCAAGACTGCGCCAGCAGCCTATCACCAATAACCAAACTTTCAACAAACACCCGTGGGTTGCGATGCTAATGATGAAGGTTCGCTGGAACCCTCGAGCCTTCAACACGAATGTGTTTCTAGAGCCAATGCCAACCATCAATATCTTATGACCCGGCTCTTCGCAACCTCCTGTGCCATGGACAGCTTGAGGCTGGCCTCCTTTGCAAGGCTGCCTTGCACCACCTAGAGGCTTATGGAGGGTTTGTGGTTTATGTGGGGTTCAGGCCTGTTTCCGGCGACGGTCTGGGACTAACAAAATCGTGGTGGACTCCCGAAATTGTGGAACTGCGTGGAACTGCCAAGAACATCTTTTGCAAAGAAGCTAGCTAGAACAGCCTGCGATTTGCATAGGACCGGCCTGCGAATTCTTTGGCTGTGGGCTAGGGCAGACGACCCAAATCCACAGCAAACGGGAACCCTTCCCGGCCCCTGGGAACTTCTCTCAGACAGACAATGCATCTTGGATGCAGCCATCCCCGGAATCTGTACAGAGACTGCGGGCTTCAATTTGTAGCAGCCCGTGCGTCTATCCTGGAAAGCAGCCATTCATTGGCTGCCATTTCGCTCCGACCGTGTTTTTTCATGCTGTGCAGGTGGCCTAAACTTTGAAGAAACGGACGCTGACTCATCCAATTTCTGCGAGGTCGACATCGCCATCGACCTCTTCAACTTGCACCTCCGGCTGTCAAAGCATCCGGATTTGAGGCAGAGGTCGTGGATAGTGACGGATGGTGAGTGTTCTTCGTGCTTCAGAACTGCCATCGCAATCGTCTCCACAAGAAGCCTCCACCCACCCCCGCCGCCTGTGAGCTCGCATCTCCGAACATGGGGGGGGATGCTCCGAACCTACAAGCACGATGATACTTATTGTGGTGCACGGTTTAGGGGTTTAGGGTTTAGGGTAGAATCATTGTCATCACCGGCCCCAGCCTCCCAAAACGCCGAAACCCAGTAGCCCCCCCTTCCCTGAGCAACAGCCCGGAGGCCTGGCTGATGTTGAAGCTACCATTGGGATAAATCCGGTCTCGATAAGCCTCGTGGCAGACTTTCGTGCAGTGCTTCGATTCTCGAGCTGGAGCTCTTAGCACGAAACCTGGAGTGCCGACTGCAAGAGCCCGTGGAAGCAAAAGTAAGTACAGATAGAAGTCTGTAACTTCTCCTGATGACCGATAGCGTCAACCAGACATTCCCACGAGTTGGTCTATAATGTACGTTATGCAAGAAAGTCCCGAATTATGGGCAGCCTAGCTGAACAGAAGCAGTGCTACGGGAGGCTTTGAAGGTCTGCTCCAGGACCGGCTCCCTCGCAGCCCCGCCTCCTCCATCGGCCATCGAAGCGCTGCGCTCCCGACAGCGTCGGCCACCCACCTGCCCACAGTTTCAACTACTCTGTAGCCTGGCAAACCGGAACAGCTGAGAGCCTTGGGCTTATATAGATTGAGAGAGTCCGACTTCCCTCTAGGATTCTACCTCGCGAGAGAGTGTCAGAGTGTGTCGATGAACATCATGCGGAGACAGATAAACAAAGAAACAGGTGGGGAGTGAAAGAGAGAGACAGAGACACACACAGAGAAAGATAGGCGGATGTAAGCGGAGTGCGCGCAGAGCGACATTGGGTAGAGCCAGCCAGTCGGGAATACATCCCCCAACCGGACTTCTTTGCAGCGCTTCAGCCTAGAAGGTAAGACGACGTCCCGTCTGTGCCAGCGTCTACGCTTCACCCAGGCCTATCAGAACTCAAGTTAGCCCAACAAGAAAGAAGGCCCCACCATGCCTACCAACAGATGAGATGTTAGTCACAAATAACTGCCCAGGCACAGATCACAAATGAATGTCGTCAGGGATGGGCGAAGCGTGAGCTCTAGCCACTGATGCCGCTCCTCAGTCGTGCGACATGAGACTACAGTACTAGGGTTTAGAGTTTAGGGTTTAGGGTTTAGGGTTTAGGGTTTAGGGTATTCTCACACCCGGCTGCCGCGCCAACACAGCAGATGGCGTTCCAATACTTACTTAACGTTTGCGAACCATGCTTGAAGACGCGTCCACAGCAGTCATCAGCTGGCCGCTTCGCGACCACGCAACCCGAGCTCATGTTGCAGTGACTTGATGAATGTGGTTTCCTGATGAACAAACCCCTTCCCACAAAAACAATTGCGGCTGCCTGTGAGATTGCATGTTGAATCAAAGGATGGCTCTGTACTGGCACGCTTGCTATAGATGCTACTGACGGGCATTGAATGGCATCACTGTTGCTATGAATCCGCTTCGTGATGTGCGCGAAATCCCTTACGCCCCTTTTTTGAACCCAGACTCTGCTGATCGGCTGGGAAGAAACCCTGAACTCTGAGCCTGAAGCCCAAATACACCGCCACATCACGAATGCATCAGGGCCTTGATGGTTAGACTACCTTATACTAGAAATGTCATAAGGATCGAGCCCAAGGGAAGAGCATTCCTGCTAAGTCCGACCCCTATATCCCTTTCGGAGGCCCGCTGTTTTTGTGCTCCAGCCGCCGGCTTGTCGGCGACCTCCACGGATTCGTCGGCCTCCAGAACCGAAAATTTAGAGTTTTTGCCTCCCGCCGTGGGGTTTTGGCGTTCATAGCTCGGACAGTCCAGCCGAGGCATGTGTCGCCTTGTGGTTTAACCCAAAAGAAAGCCCTGACCTTCTCGACCTCACGACCAAAGCTGAAAACATGCTCCTGAGAGCTGTCAAAACGAGACAGCAGAGGAGGCGCATGCAATAAACCCCCGACCGATCCTGTAAGCATATGCACCACGAGCTCTTGGCACAACTTCCCGAGATACCGAAGCAAGTTCCCCCAGGCACGCGCCAGGAAATCGTCAGGTTTGCATTCGTTCGGTAGAGATCCCAATCTCAAGCCCCCCACTGACACTCCAAATCGTGAAGCGGTTGCAGAGAGTCTCCTGCGCCCCCACAACTCAGCGTCCCTCCTTCTCGCCGAGGTTGACGCCGCCCCAGGAGTACCCGCCACGGTACTTCATGTCGATGCCCAGGACACTGCAGAAAGGATACCTCAAGGCAGACTGAGCCGCCTGAAATCTCCAACCGCAGACCGCTTAGTGATCACACAATAGCCCTGGCCCAGCCGGCTCATGGCACAATCGAGAATACAGAATTACAACGGCTCCCTTTTCTTCCCGGAGGACTTCTTTGTCTCAGCCATTCACGCAGATCATCTTACCCTGCTATCCGGACCAAGTCTCCTACACCCGTCAATCCTAAACCCTAAACCCTAAACCCTAGTAGCCCAAAACCCAGGCCCCGGAGCCCCCATCTGGCTTCCAAGGAGCAGAAAACCGGCCATCGTTGACGAGACGGTGTGGCAGTGCCCCTGGCCGTGGCAAGCCATCTTCCTCGTCTGGCCGGGCAGAATACAGGGGGCCTTTCGATCCTTCGAAAGTCGTCGGGGGAGGGGGGGTGCATTATATCATGCTTGTGTAGGGACTATAAGGTGATAGTCAGACCTGTTATCCCGATCCGTAGAAGAATTGTTTGGGGTCTAAGAAACACAGCAGTATCCCGTCACGGAAGCTCTAGATCTTGCGGCTGCTTCCGAATCCGAAACTCCTGAAGCCTGAACCCCTTGACTTGTGAACCCTTGGACCCTGAATCTCGAAAAAATCACAAAAACCGTCTGAAGACTGCACCCGTGGCACGCCACATCATCCTCTCGTGCACAAGCTCGGCCTCGATCCAACCCCTTCTGGAAGGTGATGATGTCCTTAAGCACTTGCAGAGTATGGGCTCGCATTTCCTAGTTTCAAATACAAAGCCCCGGGTCTTGCCGGCACAGTGCGCGCCAAGAAAGCAGCAACATGCATAGGAGACAAGAGGTGCTTTTTGCGAGCACTTTGCATCATGCTGGCCAGCCGATGCCCACTCCTGAAGGCACGCCACACTACACAATGATGCGCCTTGCAGCTCAGGGGCTTCTGTACAAGACAGACCAGTGACGAGTGAGAATAGGAGCCGTGATCCGTCCCAAGTAAACCCTTCCGTTGAGACAAGTCTGCCTGTTTAGGACTTTGAGCACATCGTCTGGGAGAGCCAGTCCAGACCCTCGTGCAGACCGTGTCCTGTCGTGGCACTAGCCGACTGGATGAACCATCGCCGCTGCTCCAGGTCCTGCAGCCCCAACTTCTCGGTGACTTCTGCTGCAGTCATGGCATTGGGCAGGTCTTGTTTGTTTGCGAAGACCAGAAGCACTGCATGACGTAACTCCTCTTCATTCAATAATTTGGTGAGCTCATCGCGGGCCGTGTCGATGCGGTCTCGGTCGCTGCTGTCAACCACATAGATCACGCCTTGCGTATTCTGGTAGTAATGGCGCCAAAGATGGCGAATCTTGTCTTGGCCTCCCACATCCCACACAGTGAATGACAAGCTCTTGTGCTCCACGGTCTCTACGTTGAAGCCGATTGTGGGTATCGTGGTGACCACTTCGCCCAGCTTCAGCTTGTAGAGAATGGTTGTCTTACCGGCCGCATCCAACCCGAGTATCAAGATGCGTTGGTCGTATTTCGTGAGCAAAAAGCGCTGCAGGATCTTCGTCAAGACGACGCCCATGGCTCAGGAGCTCGTTCGAAATGGGCAACGACTTTGAGACTAACACGGCTGAACAACCTCCACCAATTGTCAAAGAACAGCCAGGAGCGAGCCGTGGCAACGATGACAGAGGCAGCAGAAGTTGGGCGACACCGCAGCGGCATCTGCAGCACCCTTCATTTATCTTGAATTTGCAGAACCATGCCTTATCATCTCTTCTAGTCAGGAGTCTTGCTTCAATCTCTTCATTAGCCCAAACCCAAGCGAGTCTTCATCATTGAACTTGTGGCTTCCCAGGCGCAAGGCACTTGCGTATAACCTCCACCGCCTGCAACTGCAAGGCTTGCCCCGCATCAGCAGTGTTGAAATCCAGTTTCCTCGGCTGCACGGCAAGAAGGAAGAACAACGACCACCACCACCACCAACAACAACAACAACAACAGCAGCAGCAGCAGCAACAGCACCA